ACAGATTTTTGGTATCACCTGGCAGGACAAAGTTCCAAACAGAGTAGTCCTAGAACGAGCTGGAATTTTCAGCATGTATACATTACTGAAACAGTGACGTCTATGCTGGCTTGGGCACGTCGTGAGAATGGCTGATGGTCGGATCCCAAAGGATCTCCTGTATGGAGAATTAGTGCAGGGAAATCGCCCCAGAGGGAGACCACAACTGCGATACCAGGATATCTGCAAGCAAGATCTGAAGTACTTAGGAATAGACCTCAACAGATGGGAAACCCTGACATCCGAGCGTTCAGCCTGGAGGCAGGCGTTGCATCACAGCCTCTCCCAATTTGAAGAGACCCTTGCTCAGCATGCTGGGGCAAAGAGGAAGTCACAAAAGCAGCAAAACCAGGGAGATGGACAGGGGACAGATTGGATTTGTCTTCAGTGTGGAAGAGATTGTCATTCTCGAATTGGCCGTCTCAGCCACACTAGACGCTGTTCCAAATCCTCCATACAGAGCACGTTACCATAGTCTTTCGAGACTGAAGGATGCCTAACATGATGATGTAACTGCTCCACTGTATTTACTGTTAGCTTGTTCACCTGCCATGAAAGAAGTATCATGGTGAGGGATGCTCCATTTGAAACTGCTCATATACCTTGCAACTGTTGCTTAATCTGATGCTGGGCTTTAATGATTTATAGTTCCTGTGTCCAATTCTTATTTTGCTGCTTATTTTAGCTTATTCTCCTAGATACTGGGAACACAATTAAGCAGTTTTTTTTATATCCGATAAACATCAATGGTAGCATGCAAGAGATTTTGATTTTCTCCACCTCTAAGCAATTTCAAGGAACCATGCCATTGCTAAAGCCCACTAACCTATTGTGGCCAATAAACAGTCTTCCTGCCCTATTACAAAAAGCCTATTGTTAAACTGCTAGGTGTGAAGCTGACTTGTGCCCTCTCTGCTCCTGTTCATAAAGGGATCACTCAGCCACAGTATCTTGGGAATTTGTCTGCTTTTTTTTTAACAAGTTGGACATAACTGCTTGAATGACTTAAATTGACTGATGTTGCAGCCTTGCTTACATCAGTATTTCAATCAGTTGCCTGAACGGAAGTAAATGAAACCCTCTCAAGGATTGGAACACTGGTGACAGAATACTTGTCCAACTCATTCAATGGATGATGAGTTCTTCAGTATCTCAAGCATCAGAAGTCCTTACTCCACAGAGTGGTGGAAGGTATCCACCCATCTCTTAGTAAAATTGCTGTATCAAATCAAAGTGAATTCTGCTTTGGAAAGAGCAACAATCACTGCTGCATCATATTTTCAAGTTACAATCAGCCGCTGTTTTGTAAGCCTCTCAAGAACACCAACTTGTTCAGTATGTTATAGAGTTGAGACCTTAAATGTTTTCCTGTGGTCCCTTGTTATAAAGCAGGTTGAGGAAGGTAATTATGTAGAGCTAAAGGGGTGCATTCCACAGAATTGTTCATGGAATCTCAGATCCAGGAAGCAGATTAATAATCATGGAGAGCAATTTCTCCATGATACCTTTTCTACTTTACTGCAGTACGTTATTTAGCTTTACATCACTTAAAATATTACAATTCTTTTAATGAACAAATCAAAAGAGAAAAATTTGGGAACCTTTATTTAGTGTAAATTTGAAACAACAGCACAATTCTTAGTTGAACAAAGGCCACAGGAGTGGGATTTTTCACAGTAACAATTCTATCTGGACACAAAATTCAGTACTATGTTAATCAACCCCATTGTTGCAGGATGGCACCTCCACTTCTAATCGTATAATTCACTGTTGAACAGGAAATGCAACAAACTACAGGTGGGTAGATGCCAAATAATCTCTTGTGTTTGACTAAACCCCCAGCTACCTTGCAAAAATAATGTGCAAAACCCATCTTCTGGTGAAGAATTTTAAAATTAAAAGCACCAACACCCCCTGCTTCTTAATATTCCATCAGTCTATGAAACATCAACTTAAAAAAACTGGCCATTTAAAAACCCACATACCCCAATGAACAGAACAGCATGTCACAGTTTCTGACGTGAAGGTTTTCCTTTCCTGTTTTGTCATGCATAAAGTCTAGCGTTTTTACACACCTTCCCCTGTTTCTTGCCCTTCCCTTCCCCAGGTTACTCTGTTCTGGTGAAGAAAGGAAAAAAATAAGTGCAACTAATTCAGCAACCAGGAAAAATATATATCCAGAATAACTGTTTGCAACAGTGGCACAAAACATGCTCAGAGGCATTTATTGCCAAGAGCAAAGAAAGAACTTGAAAACAGGTATTTAGTTTCTATGCCGTAATTCTTTCAACTTAGGAAGGAGACAGAGGTAAAAAGAGGAAAACTGCTACAGGGACAGTTTAATTCTCAAACTCAGCTGAAACAAGGGGATATTTGTCCACTCAAGGATCTGATGCCCAAATCCAACCTTCAACTCAATTTTCACAACTCACTAGCAGGAATGAGCAGTTCTCAAAGAGATAACCAGTACCAGGTACTTGGATCCTGAAGAGTTTTTAATTTAAGCAGATCTCCAAAGCAGTGCTTTTCAGACTACAGTATTTTTAATGCATGGATCTGAAAGCTTTGCACATTTATGGCTTCAGCTTCCAGCAGCCCCAGCCAGCATGGCCAACATAAGAGATTATGACAGCTGTGATCAAAAACATCTGGATGGCCACTGGTTTCCCAACCTTGTTCTAATTGATATTAGGGTTTTCTCCATGAAAAGGATAAACATCACTGAAGGACAGCTTACCCACCTCTGCTAAAAATTTCCCTGCAAAACAGCTACATGTGGTCAAGCAAGACCATTGCATGTGGGCTACAGAAGCACTCGAGAGAGAGCTGGAAAAGTCACCAGTTAGACTTACTGTGTCCCATCAAGCATGTAATACAAACATGGCCAGTGTTTATTGAACAGAGTCCATGTCACATATACAAAAACTTCCTGTCTGACTAAATACAGTAGTTCTCTGGAAGTCTAAAGTTGGAAAGACACTTTCTCTAGAGTAGTCATCACACTGATCTATTTAAATGTACCCTGTCTTGATGCTGCAATTAACTCATTCCCTTTGCCAACTATCTAAACCCCTGCAATCTGAGAGAAAGGTTTGATGTTATTTTTTAAAAATCTATTACATTGCCAATAATCTAGTATTCAAAAGGATGGTTTCCCTATTTCTTACATACAGTGACAAGTAAGTTTAATAAGATATAATATTGGCAGTTGGAACCCACAGATTGATTTGCACTGATGATAATACTGTTTTGCTGTGACCTCCAGCTTCTACTGGCTGTGTAATATCAAAACTAGATCTATGGAGTTGCCAAAAATTGTCTATCTTCCATAATTTTTATATTCAGGAATGTGAGGCTGTAACAATAGATGCATGCAATCAATATGCTTCCTATATGTTAGCATATCCATGCAGTCTTGTTGAGGCTGAACTAACTGAACAACATCCAGTGGGTTTAGCAGTATTAGGCACCTATGCTACAAAAGTGCTAATATTTCTTTACCAAAGCATGCCTAACACTTTGAAGATTTTAACTTTATTCTGATCCTGGAAGGTAAAAATACTTGTAGCAGCTAAAGGCTAACATCAGTTGATGGGACTGGAACAGAAAAAGAATTACAGAATGTGCTCATCTTCAATTAAAATTCTTCAGGATACTTAAGATACGTTCAAAACATTTCTGTTAAGCTTGTATCACTTATGACCATTACACCCAGCAAACATATTATTGCCATGCAGGTAATTTCAATAAAGCAGAAAGGACACTCAAAACCCTGCAAGACCTAGTATTTTCTCAATTTCTGTGCAACAATCTTTAAAGCGGGAGTTTTTAAAAAGTTAGTTTATCAAGTTGAAAGAGTTGTGTCTCAGCTTATATACAGTACTTTTTTCCACTTTACAATCATGTGAGCAATCATGTTACATAACTAAACCCTTAACTTGCTTTAAAGCTAAGCTATTTGCCTATTTGGAAGAATTTTAAACAGCACTAAGAAAAATGGAGTGGTAGAGATGGGTTTGGGAACATCATGCAAATAACTCACTCCAAAAAAGGATTTTCACGCCACTCTATACAACACTGTATTATTTTGCTAGTGAATAGTACCACTGTAAAAACTGCAATATTTAAAGTAGTTGGCAGTGTATGACATATCAAACATAAAAACCAGACTGAATTTGAAAGCACTTGTCTTCATATTGTAATAAATATTTCCTCTACCTTTGCACATTGCTGAAAGCTAATACTACAGATGTGCATTATCCAGCTGTTCATTAAAAAGGTTAAACTGTCTATAACTGCCATTAAATCTTCAAATATTCAATTATGCTGCTAATTAGAGTACTTAGTAATGTAACATATGCAATTAAAAATTAAACCAAGACAGCAGCAATACAGTGTTAACATTTGTTTATCAATGCCTCACTTTCGCTTGCTTTTTGTGTCAGTAGTCTGAAAAACACTAGAAGCAGACATGAGATTTTCTATATATTGTCCAAGAACTTGATTTTCTGATTTCAGTTTTAAATTTTCTTCTTTAACCGCATCTACTCTTGCAGACAGATCTGTAAGGACAAATTGAGGTTGTTATGCAGTAGTCTGCAGACACAAACCAGTTTTGTCAAAGGTCTGTAATAATCAGCATACACAGATACAAAGCATCTGAATTGTAACATTTATCCAACACAGATAGTGAAACAGATATGATATTTTTGGGTGCATAATGAGGGTGACAGAAAAGGTTCTATCACTTCTGAAGGCAAGGCGCACCTGGAAAGAACATCTGAGAAACCTTCAACTGAGCCCAGAAATTGTTGTGGAGTCAGTATCTTTGGTTTAAGACAAGCAAGATATGTTCCTTAATCCCAAATGTGTAGCATTTACCAAATTTTGCACTAATTAATGTCCGAACTATCTTCAAGGCCAGCTCCACACGCTGCTGTCATCGAAATGTAGCGTTACAAGAGTGCAAATATATATAAACCAGAGTATTTCTTGTCAGGAATAGCCATTGTGGACATGCTGGTCGTAGTAGATGAAAGACACTTCATGTTACAAAAGCAACTTGCCCAATCCCCCAAAAAGGGTCCAATAGAACTTCGGGCATCGTCTCATCCAAAGCAGGGAAAGCATCATCTGTCACAGTAACACCACCTATCAATAGTGTCTCCTCCTTATCAGGAATGCCCCTCAGCCAGACTTTTACCAAGTCAGGATGCTAGTTCTGTCAGTTTAGCTTCCTCTAAATTTAATGAAAAAGGAGGAAGAGTGCTGGGTGGCATCATCCTATATTGACCCTAAAACCACAGATGACCTTGTAAGTCAGTGGAAAGGAGCCTTGTAGCACAGTGGTTAAACTGCAGCCAAAGCTCTGCTTATGACCCAGGTTCAATCTCAGGTAGCTGGCTCGAGGTTCAGCCTCCCATTCTTATGAGGTTGGTAAATTAAGTATCCAGCTTGCTTGGGGAGGGGAATTTGTAGCCTGAATAATTAAATTGTCAACTACCCTAAGGGTGGTCTAAGTGCTATGGGGTGGTATATAACCAGCACACTTTGCTTTTTGCTTTTTTGTTGAAGACCACATTGGGGGCAATCTGCCTGGGAATACAAGCTGGTGTTGGGTGAAGTCAGAGCCAAAAATGGGCTAGGCGAGTCCCTTTTCTCTCTCCCTGTCATCTGCCACCCTCACCAGAGCAGGCTGCCAGGAAAGGCACAGATTGCTCTTATCAGATGTTTTAAAATAGGACAAGGGCTACAAATTGTCCATCCTTGATGGAGAATAGCACTGGATAGTATGACACAAAATTATGGAACCACAGCATCCTCTGGAATGCTCAGTCCCACAGGCTGTGTAAGGATGACATCCAGACTGCCCCCCACCTTGAAAAATATTGAAATGGGTCTAGATCAGTGGTTCTTAACCTTGGGTTACTCTGGTGTTTTTGGACTGCAACTCCCAGAAACCTTCGCCACCAGCTGTGCTGGCTGGGGTTTCTGGGAGTTGCAGTTCAAAAACACCTGAACAACCCAGGGTTAAGAACCACTGGTCTAGATAAAAACTTCAGGACTTTTCACACAGATATACCATGTTCTGAAGAAAGGAACAGCTTTGTGGGAGGATAAAGAGTGCACCCACAACCTCTTTTATGACCGGATGATGCTTACTGCAAGGAGGCATTTGTTTCCTACTGAATGCAGCTGCCATTTCTGGATCAGTGTTATGAGTTAAACAACCAACAATTAATGAATACTACCCCCAGTATTATGCCCATGCCGTAGAGACTTGATAATCAAAAATTATTCTACAATACCAGATTAGATATCAAATGTAATCAAATGGGGCATGTTGTTCCATGTTTTTTTTAAAGCAGTTGAATCTATAAAGCATTTTCTGGACTATATTTCACAGTGACAAACCTGAAACCTTGTACGTCCCATTAGATTAAACAGAATTTGCAAACAAATCTGCAAAAGCAGTTTAAGACTGTTTGTCTGTATCAAAAGCTAGTTCACCATGCCGGTATGTTGTCCTTTTGAGTTAAGAAACAAACCTTCAAGTGTATGCTGCAGTTCTAAAACTTGGTTAATGAGCCGTGTTTTTTCTTCCAGTTCCACTTGATTTTCAGCCTCAACAGCTGTAAACAAACCCAGATAATTCTTTAGAACAACTAAAATATTACAATGCACAAGACTGAAAACAGAAACAAAGAAAAAACCCTACCATCCATATCTGCATTCATCATTGTTGAACAGAGATTATCCACCCTTGAATCTTGTGCTTCAGAGGTGTGTCCTCCTTTTAAAACAGAGAATAATACCAATTAAAAATATAAACACGACAGCCATCTTTCCTACCCTGATATTTTAGATGCATAGCATTTGTCATCCTAACTTCAACCGCACAAGACTTTAAGCCAACAATTCCTGATAGTGTTGAGAAAATGAGTAATTCTTATTTTGCAGGTCTAGCTGCTATTTTAAGGAATAACAGTAATAAACTGTTATTTGCAGGATAAAAAACCAAACAACCTCAATTCAGGCAAACTTCCTATCCATCCCCATCTCCTCTGTCTGCCCTCAGAGCTTCCTGAAAACTAACTTCAGAGGATTTCCCAATTTTCTAGAAAAGATTTGGGGGAGTGCAGTGGGAAAGGGCCAAGGATTTGGCCCTTCCACTTCCTCTAGATTCAACTGCTGCACCACCAGAAGTCCATTATCAGGTCCTGCCCTGTATTAATAAGGCACAAAATAGAAAATGATACATATGCCACCATCCCGTCCTGGATAACCCAAACGCATTCTGAAAGCATTAACAGTATTTCGTTTTCACTGACCTTTTGCAACACTTTAAGAGGCCCCATTCAAAAAATAATATATGCCTTGTGCTTCCTTAAGCAGTCAGGGTTCCTGCATTTCCATTTATTTAATCATTCTTAACCAAATGATACAACCCAGTTGCTATGAAATCCAATGCTGATGGCAAGATGAAAACATCTTGTTCTCTCATTTTAAACTTGCTCCATGTGAATGTCTATTAGTACAGTGCAACTGGAACATCATTGCTCTAATGTAGTTTTACACTACAGGTATCCACCCACCACATCAATATAACAATGTAACATTGCACTTCACCGTAATCTAAACACTCCAGAACTTGCCTGGTTTCAGAAATTAAGCAAATCTGGCCTGGTTAGAGTTTGGATAGGAAAACACCAAGGAATGCGAGGCAAAACTAAGTAGAAAGTATCCTGAAAGCCTGGGTCAGAGGCTGCCTCCCAGAGCTGACATTACTAGGCTGGGTAGGAAGCTTAAGGCAATTTCCCATCTCCACATTCTCAATTTTATTCATCATGGTTTGAAAGCATTTCCGTTCGGTCGTGTTGGGTCCCTAATCTACAAAGCTGTACCCATGGGTGACGTTTATTCCTCTTCCTTCAACCCAAAAGGAATACTGCCAGGAAGGTGGCGAACCGATCGCTCCCACCCCCCACAAGGAGAAAGCGCCTTTAACATCCTCGCCATCAGTCTCCCTCCAAAAAATAAAAACAACAAGACAGAAACGAAAATCCAACGAAGCCTCCCCCCATCACATCTAAGCATCAGTTCGTTGCCCTCCCGCCGGCCAGCATCTTTTCTGCCCGGTCCTGTGGGGATTCTCCCTCCCCGCCGCCGCCGCTGTCGTGTCCCTGCATCGCTTGCTCGCGCGTGTCGGCGGCGCGTTCTCACCGCTCTCCTCACAGACCCCCGGTTCCCTCCTCGGGCCCCGACCCGAGCCTAGTTCAAACGCGTCCACTGCGCCTGCGCGCTTTCCCTTCTCGCCCGAGCCAGTGGCGCACGCGCCTTTGCTTGATAAAAACAACCGGGAAGGAGGTGGAGGAGAAAAAAAAAAGGTGGGTTTAAGGAGTGGTGACTCAAAGGGTCACCAATCACGGCAAAGAAAGGGCGACCGCGTCTGCTGAGTAGCCAATAGGCGAAGGGAGACATCATCAGACGTTTCCGAGGCATTGTGGTCGCCCTGGGTTGCTTTTGTTGTCTTCGCCGGTTCGCTTGCGCTGCCTCTGGGGCGAGCGAGCAGGGGAAGCTTTGATGAGTAGCTCTGTTTTCCACCTCTCTTCCCTCCTCGTCCTGATTTGGGTCTCCCTTAAGATGTTCACGTGGAGCCAAGATTGGTGGCTTTTTTCAGTGCCAAGTGAAGACTTCTTAAACTTTCCCAGGCGTTGGCTTCGTCTTGTTCCCCTCCTGCTGGAGGTTGAACTTTCCACATTGGATTTGAATGCCGCAGCTTTAGAGAATATAAAAACAAAATTAAACAATAAACATAAAAGAACAAATAAAAAGACAAAAACGTGGTGGCACCTTAAAGACTAATGTGAGCTTTTGTGGACACCTCCACTTCCTCAGACATATTGCATGGCATTCAAATTAGTCTCCCGCTTCTGTGGCCAACAGGTTCTTTTTCTTTCTTCCTCTCTCTTCATATTTATTTTCCCTTTGAATATAATAAGCTGTAACGATCTGTTTTTAATTTCTCATTATCTGCCTGAAATGTTTTAGCTTTCTGCACCACTTGGTCTTTTATCAATCTGCTTTAGTAAGTCTCCTTCATGACACAGGAGTTCTTAGCATTCTACAAGGAATCCACATTTCATTTTCCCCCTCAGAGTTGCTTGTATTTAAACGCATGTTTCTCTGCTGTGTACTAGAACTAAGAATGCCTCCCATGTGCATTCTCAAAGTCAATTTTAAGTTTTTGATTCACATAACATTCTTGACCTTAAAAAGCTGCTCCGGGCCAGATTTGGCATTACTTTTATTATAGATATGTAATTGTGTTCTTCCTGTCTATTCAAACAAATTCCAGTATGGTTGTTGTGGGTTTTTCAGGCTGTTTGGCCGTGTTCGGGAGGTTTTTCGTCCTAACCTGTGGCCGGCGTCTTCAGAGGACAGGAGTTCAAATTCTGCCTGTGTTCTGGAAATGTTAGGAAGAAAAAACCCCAGAACACAGCCAAACAGTCTGAAAAACCCACAACAACCATCAGATCCCGGCCATGAAAGCCTTCGAAAACAAATTCCAGCATATTTATATTTATCACTGAGCACTGCGTTTTCATTTTGGACCTTTAGCTGGATTTTTTAGACAGCTTACTTTTGACTGTCATGGATTTTGTTTTCTTAACATTCATTTTTAGATCATGTTGATTACTTTGTTAATTTAATTGCAGGCCATATGAATTGTCGGATTCTAGTACTGTATTGTTTGCATTTTAAATGCTGATAAACACTCTGTTGACAGTGGTACCATCATTTGAATCAGCAAGTGCTAGTCAGAAGATGTACTCATATGACAGACTGAAAACCAGCAGTGAGAGTGCACATCCCTCTTGTACTTCTCGTATCTTTATGTCCCCTGTCATCTGACCTTCAATTTTCACTGCAGATTTTTGCTGCCAATAGACATTGCCAATTACATAAATATTATTAAATCAAGACCTTTCTTTACCTTTATCACCAAATCCTTTAGCATGCCATGTTGGATTTTGTTGAAGACATTCTTGTGGTCAATAAGCCAAGTATGTATATGATGTTCATTTCATAATATCTGTTTCCAAATACATGTATGCACGATAATCCTTCTTGGATTCCAAATCCTTTGAATCCAAATTGCAGTGTCTCCCACCCTTTCTATACATTTGTAAATTCTGTCATTTATTCAGCAAATAGCACATTAAACTTATTCTGGAATGATTACAAAATGTGCTCATCACTGTAATTTGCCTCAAAAATAAAAGTGGGAAAAGCATAGAAAGTAAACAATTAATGCTGATAAATTGTCCAAGAAGTCTGGTTGATATTAATTGGTCAGACCTTCCATTAATTAATTAATGTTCTTTTCCTGTCCAGTTCACTCACAAGTACTTAAACGTTTAAGCATGCTCTTTCTCTCCTTACAGTTTCCAGTTTGCCTTGGTTCATACTTTTTATGTTCCATGTTTTAATTACATGTATCTTATGTATCACTGGACTTTTCATTCACTTCTGTGCATGCTGATCATCAGAGATCATTTTGGCTTTAATCTAGTTGCTTCACTCGTGATAGCACTTTCATACTTTAAAAAAATTCTTTTCCAGTAGCTGACTGAATACTTTTTGACCTGGGAGTCTTGTTTTCCAGCACTTTTTTCCATTCTTTTACAGTCTCAGTATAAGGTTTTCAAAGTAAGAAGTATTCAGAAGTGGTTTACCATTGCATCTGCACAGTACAGTACTAACAAGAGTTAGCTTTAGTGTCACTGTCATTGTCTCTGAAAGGTCCTCTGCCAATTTTGCCTTCCACTGTTCCTGCTGCCCAGTAGCTGCCTTCCAGGACCGTCGGTGCCCCCATAACCATTCAGATAATCTGTTCTGTTCTGCTGATGTGACTGTTAATCCTGAAGACAGTGGATGCACTTTATTGTGGTGTCACAACTCTGACCATTCTACCTTGGATGACCCTGCTAATCATTCAGACTGCAAATTGAGTCTAGTCTCATGATTACATTGTTGTCAGCTTCCTGGATACATTTAAATTTACTCACCATGTTAAGGTGAGCATTCAAGACAGGGAGTACATGTTTACTGAAAAGTAAATCCCCTTGTGCTCACTGAGAGTTGAGCCCAGATAAACATACAAAGGTCCAGGAACATACTGATGTCTATATAATCCTCAAAGGAACTTTCATGGCAGTTTACAGAAACAAGATAAAATTAACCAAATGATATAAAAGAAATCATTAATACACAATAGCCTGTTTATTATGTATGACATGAGTTAAAAACATAACATGCAACTTAATATATTAATAGTAATAAAACAGGCCAGATAAAAGCAAAATAAAACCATCAGTTTTTGCTTCTGTAATAAAAGTCAAAAATAATCATCAGCAGGTATCAAACCATTGAAAGACCTAAAGAAACCAAGATTGTTTCTGCCTAATTTCTGAGAAACCCTTCTCTTGGGAGAACAACTAACCCCATTTAGCAGGGCCCCATGGCACTCTATTTTCTTTTATTCTGTTGTGTAACAACACAGTGGAAATCAGTTCAGAATATCAATTCACATTAATCACAGAATGCCTCCTCCAAGAAGGCTTACTGAAAATGTACCATTGAAGAAGTCTGCAACAGCAGTGAGTGAGACCTCTACTGACTAGATATAGGAAGCACAAATGCATTTTCTGGTCCTGTTATTACAGTACAGTATTTCACTTATGTAGAAGAATGAATTCTATAGCAACATGATATTTCAAGTCCCACTTTTAAATTAATTCACTGTTTCTCCTCCTCCTCTATACAGCTAAGTCCACATTATACCTTCTCTCTCAGTTTTTCTAGATATGAAGTGCTATGAAGTGGTTTGCTAGTCTCTTCCATTGGCACTATGGGACCATGGAGTACAGTATTTCACTTACATCTAGTATGTAGAAGAATGAATTCTATAGTAACATGTTATTTCAAGTCCCAGTTTTAAATTAATTCACCATTTCTCCTCCTCTATACAGCTAAGTCCACGTTATACCTTCTCTCTCAGTTTTTCTAGATATGAAGTGCTATGAAGTGGTTTGCTAGTCTCTTCCATTGGCACTATGGGACCATGTGCCTTTCCTGAGGTTGTACAGGTGACAGGTCGTATTATCCTGTCTGCCACATGAACTTACAATGATCTCAGCTGTAATATCTCCGAAGAGTCACAGTGGGGATTCAAACTCCAGGACCCTGGCTCCGCAACCAGCCCTTCCAACAGATTGAGCTATACCAGCCATAGATGTCTAGGGAGACTTAATAGTTTCCTGTGCAATAGAGAAAATGGAATAAGCTTATATGTCTATTATTCAAATTTTAAGGCCAGAATCCAGTTGGCATAAATTGTTGGCACAAGCAGTTGCTTCCTTTGGCAGGATGTCAGCTGTGTGACAGATGCCCTGCTGATGTGCGGGGATGCTTTTGGACTAGTAAAGAGAGGCACTGCTTGCACACCTGTGCAACTACCCATTTTCTCTCCCAACATGATTCTGGCCTGAAAGTCTCTTTTGGCAAAATCTTATTGTTAGTCCTAACTAGAGTGAATCCATTGACTCAACTGTTGAACAAACTAGCAGTTACATAAATCCCACTGGTTCATTAGGACTACTTTATTTGGGACTACTGGTGACATTCTGCCTTTCAGTTCTAGTTAATCTGTGGAACTCCTTGCTACAGGGTGTGGTCTCTTTTTCCTCATTACCCCTCTTCCGGAGGCTTCTGGTGGGTCCATTGTGAAATACAGGAAGCTGGACTAGATGGGCCCCATTGACTCAACTGTTGAACAAACTAGCAGTTACATAAATCCCACTGGTTCATTAGGACTACTTTATTTGGGACTACTGGTGACATTCTGCCTTTCAGTTCTAGTTAATCTGTGGAACTCCTTGCTACAGGGTGTGGTGATGGTATCTAGCTTAAATGCCTTTAAAACAGGATTGGACAGATTCCTGGAGGAAAAGTCGATTGCAGGTTACAAGCCATGATAGGGTTGTACAATCTCCAAGCTTAAAAGGAAGGTACCTCAAAATGTCAGATGCAGGGGAATGGTATCAGGAGACAGGTATATAGCTGTTGAGTCTCTTCCGGAGGCTTCTGGTGGATCCATTG